AAAGTCCGAAGGGTCATTTTCCCTTGGCAGCACTCATATAATAGTGAAATTTTTAAGCATATGAAAGCACCAATCACGTTACACCAGGTCACGTGGGGGCGAAATTTTTTATGGCGATACTGGGGTAAATATCATTATAGTATTAAACTAAAAATTGGTTTAGTCTATTCTTTAATCATGAGCCAGAATTACTATTCTGCACTTTCATTTTTTTTTTTACATAAAAGAATATTATCTAACGTACGCTTTAATTTAAATTAGCAATAAGCAATACGTTTTTTTATGTCACCATTTATAAAAAATTTTTATAATTACTACTGCTGCCAGTAGCTACATCATCATCATCATCTCTTGGTAATGCACCTACTCCCATTCTTCCAAATATATTTCCAACTGGTCCAGGTAGTCCTTCCTGTGCTTTAAAACTTTCTAACAAATTTTTAGCAAGATTTAAATTAATATTAACTGGTTCGCTTAATTCATCATCATCATATTCATAATTGTTTATTTTATCCTCCGATAGTGGTTGATTCAAAGCCTCTTGAGGCGTTTTTATAAATGATCCAGAAATTTTTGATAACGATAATTCAGCATCTAGTGCCCGCATGTATGCATCCATGTCAATGTCGTTGTTTGACTCTTTCATCTTTCCACGTGATGATGATTCAGAAATGTCAGATGATAAGAATTGTTGTGAAGATATTGATTTTGATTGATCCATAAGCTCTCCTAAGAAATATAAATTATAGTGATTTGTTAATAATTATGCTACTATATAAAATAAATAAAATAAGAGATTGTGACCTAACATACTTGTAATCTGATCAGATTCCTGCCTTATCTTTTCATTTGCCAATTCCCTATACTCTTGCTCAGAAATGCCTATAAAAACATTTCATTTTTTTAATGACAAAGATAAGTACGGAGTAATATGGGTAATCAAAACGTTACCCAAAGTTTGTCTCATTATTCTTAAAAATTCAGTTGGATCAACTTTTACATCTGCATCGTCATCCACATATATATTTTCCTCATCATCATCATCCTCGTCAGATACATGTTCACTATTAATTAGGTTATAACTAAATTGGTCAAATGTCATATAACACATGATTTAAGAAAATTTCAGGTAAAACTTACCCCGGAAACACAGCGCCTTCCACACCTGCACCTTCAAAATCGAAAAACTTTTCAAATGTATCAATCATATTGGTCAAATCAATAGGATTCAGTTCATCATCAGACTATAATTATGATATCAAAACAAAATGATAAATATACCAAAATGCAAGGAAACACAAAAACATTATAAATGAATTAATTGAACCTACCTCGCTTGGAATCTCTTCGTAGCTCTTATTAGTTGCATTAAGTAATTCATCTAATTG